AATGTGGGTTTCTAGCCATAAGTGTCAGTGGAGGTAAGTATGTTTTGGAAGTTATCATTTTCCTAATCTGAAAACATATTTCCAAACATACTTACGCTGACACTATCCCTCCTATCCTCCTCACTAAGAGCCAGTGTTTGTGACCAGGATGGGTATGTCTCAAAAAAGTGATTATATTGTCTGCATACAGTGCTTATATACAGTACCTATATAGAGGGCGTGTGAGGGCTGGTGTAAAATTTTGCAAGTTAGAATTTGACGAGGGCAGTCGAGTGGGGTATAAAAGACTGGAGCAAGGTAACACAATGTTTAGATGGCAAAGATGGAGATTGAAAAATAGTTATAAGTGTCAGTAGAGGTAAATATGTTTGGAAATACATTTTCTGATTAGGAAAATGATAACTTTTCAGATATGTTATTCTGTCACTGATGTTATTTTTTACTTCATTTATGTATTTCTTTACTTCATCAATTGTATCATTACAGCCTTTTTTTACTTTGTTGATGTCTTTCTGTACTTCTTCAAACTTATAATTTTTCTCTGTAAATCTCCAGTGATTTCATCAGTCTTTTCTTGAATCAGATATATATACATTTTAATTTTTCCTTAAATAGTGTGTCTCTTTCTTTTAACTCATCTTTTAATGTCTCTACAAACTTGAACAGTTACATTACAAATAACAAGATAGCGTGTAAAACAAATCAACTTACTTGTACAAAGTAATTCAATAAGTGAGATAGCAAACACAGATCCAAATACTTCATGAAAACACACTGACTGATTCAACTCTCTATGTTGACAGAAAAAGTATATCTTCAAATAATTCTCCAATCATCACAACTATCTTGTATTTATAATGTAGCTTTGAATGTGTGAGAAAATCTTGACATCAGTTAAAAATTTATTTAGGCATTCTACTTTCTCTAGCAAAAAAAAAAATTACAATGTTAAAAATGTAGTTTACAACAGTACATATAATCCTGATGCACTTATTGATCACTATTAACTGGTGTATTTCTGCTGTAGTTATCTTGTACATATACATATATATAATACTGTCTGTTGTTTGTCCATGTAACTACTTTACAAGATGTGGATGGATCTTCACCAAAATTTGTATGGAGGTTCGTTAGGTCCATTCGGAGGTATATACAAATTTGCAGTTTTGCAGTTTTTATGGTCACTTTTTACCACTACTTTGCCCACTGTAGATGGACATTCACCAAATTTTGTATGGACGTTCATTGGTTCCATGGGGAGACACATAAAAATTTTTAGTTTTGCATTTTGTGTTTTGCAGTTTTATGGGTGTTCTTGCATTTTTACCACTACTTTGACTACTTCTGTTGGATCTTCACCAAATTTGGCACGAAGGTTTGTGGGGTCCGTGCAGAGATACTTACAAACTTGCAGTTTCACATTTCAAGTTTTGCAGTTTTTATAGGCATTTTTGACAATTACATATAAGGGAAGCAACTTTTCATGCCCTAAGATAACCTTTCATTAATCATTTATTTACATAACTTTCATCTTGGGGAAGAGTACTCCAGCTAGCATACACACACACACACACACACATATATATATATATATATATATATATATATATATAATAAGAGAGACTGTATCATCTGTCTGTCACTCTTACTTAACTAAACTTAAAAAATTAAAACAAAGAAATAAAACTATTACGACTACTACTCTTTATCTACTTA